ATATATTCATGGATTATTTGACAATAATCAGGCAAGAGCAAAGAGAGGTAGTAAATAAATGTCATGCTCTAAAACTGAATTTTGCAGATAGTTTTCAGCATGGTTTTCCTATGTTTCACTTTTCACTGTCAGCTGTGAGCTGTTTCCAAGTGTGAAATCGCCTAAGAGAGGAAGCAAAGCTGTCATTTGACATCTGGGAGCGTGGAGATTGGGCTGTGGTAAAAAGCACTTTGGACTTCTTCAATTTACACACACACTGACGTATAAATTCTCAAGTGTGAAAAGAATTCAATGAGAAATATCAATGTAAATCTCAAGCATTTATAAAGGCTCATAATAGGGTTGAAAATAAAGGTGAAGGACACACTGATAGGCTACCATATCAACTTGTTAAGACTAGGACTAGAATGGGAAACTTAAGTGATTATGTTAGCATAAAAACTAACATATAAACAAATTTTAATTTATTAAACTAGATTAAACTTTCAAATCCAGTCTTTTGTGTTTTTATGTGCTTACTATTCTTAGGACAATTTTCTAGCTGCTTTTTTTATGATGAAAGATGAGACCGCTAAGAAAAAAATACTGGTAAAAGAAAAAAAATAGTTTTTTGACATTTTATTTTTTCTCTATATTTAAAATACTGTAACAAAAATTTTAGTCTATATTATAATAAGCTAATAGCTCCAGTGATAAAGCACATAAAATCTTTTACATAAATCTGTGTTTGTAGGTATGTATATATAAACAGAAATAAAACCAGAGTAACTATAAGGAAGCCCTCTGGAGAAGAATAACCAATTAACTCCAGTTTTTCTATAATACTCCAGATTATCCTAAAATCTCTCGTAACAAAAAACAGGAGATTGATGTATAGCAGAAACCAACACAATACTGCAAAGCAATCATCCTTCAATTAAAAACGAATAAGTTTTAAAAAAATAGGAGAATCTGTCTAGACGTCTCTTAATAAATATCTAAAACTCTCCTCAGATGTAAACTAGATAGTGTTATATTTATACTGTCATGCTGTAAAATCTATCCCCACTTTGGGGACTATTTCTTCACTCTTTCTTTTCCTGAACTCTGCTCTGTGTTTCTACAGTATGAAAGGAACCCATTTGCCATGAATGATGTTTATTTAAAATAAAACCTTTCTAGAGAATCATCCTGGATAATCTAAGGATACAAAGTGAATATAAAAGGAATGGCTTCTACTCTGAAAACAGGGCTGGGTTTGATCAGTGAATTCGTATTCTCAAGACCCTCTTGATGGGCCTGCAGCTGCACCCATTTATTTGCTGGCTTTTTCACAGATGTAGACAGAGAAAGCGCCATGGTTTTTGTCTTTTTGTTGTTGGATTTATTTTCTTTAACATAAAAAAGTGACAACTTTTTTAAGTTCTTCGTTTCACTGTAGAAACTTGTGAACATCGGACATCCTTGGTGGTATATATACATCGTGGAAGTAACTATGACTTTTTAAAATCTAAGATCTCAAAGTTGGCAGAAACTATACTTAAATAACAGAAGGTGATCATTTGCATTTCAAAATTTATCTATCTTGCTTTTCCCCTCAATTAGACCAAAACATGTTGATTCACAGGTTTCTCTGTGTGTGTTTTCTTTTTTAAACTTATTTATAGAGCAGAATAATGGCCCCCCTGCTAGTTTGGCATTTGCTCAAGTTTCTGTCGAATCTGTTACTGGAAAATTTTCTCAAAATATAAAGGCACATCATCCACAAGATAAAAAGATACACTGCTGATATTATAGAGTACAGGGCAGGTGGACAATGTTTTTAGGACAAATGTGTGATAAGGATTCCCAGGAGGGAGGAGTGGTGAGGGAGAGGCTGCGTGCTGTTTAAACAGAAGTGAGTCGTTCTCATCACAATCTTCTGATCACTTTACTTTCTAACCAAACATCAGCTGCTTAGCGTGCTTCAGAGTTACTTGGACAATAATACTAAGGTCAGAGCTGGGAAACAGGAAGGAAAGGGGGACATGGGAGAAGTACTTCAACCCTTAGTACTACAAAGGGCAGATCAAAAGATAACTTAGTACTCTATGTCCCCGTGTGTTCACTGATTCGTGATTTTAACCATTGAAACGTTAGCTTCTTATCACTGCTTTCACCCCTCTGAAAAGAGGAGCAAAGTCTACTTGTATTTTTATCAGCAGCACTGCTATTCAGTTTTGAAAGAAACAGTAAATCACAAATTTTTGCTCCTTATGAATGCAATTCCCCTTCATTATAAGCAATGGGCAGGAGTACACAAACTTAACTCTGAGTTCTGCAACTCTAGGTTTCAAATCATCTAAACTAGAACACCAGCGTTACTTTTCAATTAAGGCCATTACTGATCTGAGTTTTATCCTATTGGTAAAACAAATTAATAGGTCCAAGGAATGAAGAGACTTGTCACATTGTTCAATATATGCCACAATACTATAACACTTTTGTAAGTCACAAAGCTTTAAAGTGCAATTCTTTTATGTAAATAATCAAAACAAAGCCCTTCTTCAGACAACAGCTTTTTTCAAATGTTAGTGAAGGACAACCTAGATGATGACAGCAAAAATCCATTAATGGTAGACTGCCACCTGCTGGTAAACTTTGGGAATTGTGATTTCTGGGAAAAGGCTTAAAAATTAGAACTTGGAAACTGATCTGTATTAAATTCAGTACACAAAACTGTATTCAGCCAAATACAAAGCCGAAAGTATGTACCTGCTGATGAACGTCATATGGTTTTGTTCCACATATATTAGAATTCTCAGGGGGTCAACATGCTATGGATGTTAAGCATGTCTGTACTTTGAAGAAAAATAATCTGCTAGAAAGCCAAAGTACAACCCTACAGATAGTTTTCAACAAGAAAGTGAGAAGAAAAATAGGAAGAAAAGAGTCAGTTATAAACATTAAACTACTCCACAAACATCTGGTTTTGATGTGAGGTTTATACTACACTTAAGGATTTAACAGGTTTTACTGAAAAAAAAAAAAAAAAAAACCTCCCAGATTTAATGTTGACCCTAAATCTGTGAATATGAGCAAACTCTGGGAGATAGTGAAGGACAGAGAAGCCTGGCATGCTGCAGTCCATGGGGTCGCAAACAGTCAGACATAACTTAGCTACTGAACAACAATAAAACCTTGAAATTCATTATATTAACATATATACTTATATACATTGGTACCTAAAATACTATTTATTATCAAATTAGAAAAGGGGAAAGTTTGTCAAAAATAAACCAGATAACCATAATAAAGTGATTTCTATGAAATTCTTTTGTTATCCCATTAACTAAATCATACTAATAAGATCAAAAGTCAGCATAACACTATCTATTTGTGAGAAACAAAAAAATGTAGGCATGCTCTATTGCCCTTAGGAAGAAACAAAATTAAACAATCCTAATTTGGGGGACAAAAGAGAAAAGAAAAGAGTATAACAGTAAGAAGAAAATCTAAATCATTGTTTTCAGGAAATAGTTTGAGGATATCTGCTTGGCATATTGAAACACTTTTCTATTTCCCAATAAAGAAATAATTCTTAGCAATGAAAATTATAACTAAAAACAATATAGCTCTTTCAATCCTAATTATAATCATTTCCCATTATGCAGGGAAACAATGTTAGCATCAACAAAATGCTGGTTTGCTAGTAAGCATTAAGTATTGTATTAATCAACAACTAAGCAGATCATGTCAGTACAATCAGCTTGAACCTCCATTGAAAGCCAGAGCAGTGATGAGTAAGACAACTTTGGCTGCTCAAAGGGGATGAAAGTGAAAGTGAAAGTCGTTCAGTTGTGTTCGACTCTTTGCAACCCCATGGACTACACAGTCCTTGGAATTCTCCAGGCTAGAATACTGGAGTGGGGAGCCTTTCCCTTCTCCAGGGGATCTTCCCGACCCAGGAATCGAACCCCAGTCTCCCCCACTGCAGGCGGATTCTTTACCAGCTGAGCCACAAGAGAAGCCCAAGAATACTGGCGTGGGCAGCCCATCCCTTCCCCAGCAGATCTTCCCGACCCAGGGATCGAACCGGGGTCTCCTGTACTGCAGGCGGACTCTTTACCAGCTGAGCTATGAGGGAAGCCCACACTAGGCAAAAGGCGAACAAACTTTGGATTCAAACACAGCCCCATCTGCACTGATGACAGAGAAAGTAGCTCAAACCCAATTCATATGCTTAAGAGACTTGTAATTATCAGCAAAGGACCTAAGACCCCCAGAAATAAGTCTCTTAATTTTAGAAAACAAAGATAATACAGTAGAGAAACCTGTTGGGTCAGATATTTGGTTATTTGAAAACAAGAAGAATATGCTTCCTAAAATTTCTCAAATATGGAAAGAATTCCTTAAAATCTGTTCTAAAATGTCAGGATGGCTCATCATTGAAGTCACAAGATTGGTTGTTTTTTTGTAATTTCAAATTTCATCCACTGTTAGCCTTAGGGATTTTATTGTTTTATCATGTGCTTCTCACGTCGTAACAATCAAATGATCCATTTGAAGAGGTTCAGGAGGGTTTCCCTGGTGGTCCAGTGGTTAGGAATCTGCCTTGCAATGCAGGGGACAGAGGTTCAACCCCTGGTAGGGGAACTAAGATTCCACAGGCCATGGAAAAAGCTAAGCCTGCCCCCAGCAACTAAGACCCAATACAGTCAAATAAATAATTTCCTTTTTAAAGAGATTCAGGATACATAAAGGTCTTTTTAAACACTAAGAAGTTAAGACATTTCTACAAATTCATTGCCAGTTCTAAAAGCAGTATAAACCCATTTAAGAGCATACACTAACAAATATACATATACACATGTGCTATGGACCATATAATGATTTTATCCCCCAAATAATCTTTTTTAAAGGGTTAAAGAGATAACCAGATCCAATATAGTGTCAATGGCTAGTGAAAATACAACTTTGATAAAGAAATGAGAGCTGCTGAACTACTTTTGCAAGTGAGACATTTAGGAGATGGCTCTAACCTGGGGCACAGTACATTCTCTCTATGGCATCGCTGTCACAGGAATCTTCAACCTCACTCCACCTGCTAAAATACGTTAGCTGAATGTGTCCTAAAAACAAAACGACAGGAGAAATCAAAACATTTTTCTCTTCCATTTTCTGCAGAAGTGAACTGTAATTACTCCTTTTGTAGCTAAAAACAGTATCATTAAGAATAATGGCATCATTAAGTACTAGAAGCTATTACTGGGGGTGAATTTGCTGCACTGATAATGAAGCTCTAGACAGGAAATGAAGATACTAATTACAAGATAAAACGCCTACTCAGTTAATTGGAAGCAACAGCGAATAAAAAGAAATGCATTTGCAAAAGTTCCTGACCTCTATCATTCAATAAGATGTTGTTTGGGTTCAAATCGCGGCACACAATCCCCTCTCTATGTAAAGCATCAAGGGCTACCACCATTTCAGCTGCCCATCTTTGAATGCAGCCCTCCGGGATGTAAAACCTGGAGTTGAGTGCTAATTTTTTATCAAGGTCCTCAAAAATCTGATGTATTTCCTTGTCTCCTTCTTGTGTTAGCCCACTCTCTCCCTTAGGCTCCGAGTCTCTCTGAAATATAGCGGGCTCCTCTTTAGCCAAATCATCAGTTTGGTCTGTAAACAGCAAGACTTCCTCAGTTTTTAAAGTGTCTGTATTTGCGTCACATTCATTAGCACCTGAGAGCGGGTCAGAAATGTGGAATGAGCTTTCTTCTGTGCTGTCTGCGGTTCCTGGTGACTCACCCAGGCTAAGTCCTTGGAACTTAGACCCTGAACTGTGCAACAAAGACACGTCTCCCGTATCACCATGATCAACAGCCGGTAAAAATAACATCCCAAGATCCCCCTGTATGTAGTGTTTCTCTGTTATCCTATGGGCTTTAGGCCCACAGGGATCACTCAGTTCCTCTGTGCCTTTCTCTTCATGTGCTTGGCACTGTTCAGTACTGAGCCTGAGGCATAAAACATCAGGGGTTTCCAACAGTTTACTTTCTATTATGCCTATATTAGTCTGTGTGAACTTAGTAGGTCCCATTGCCACGCCATCTTTCATTGGCTCCAGTTCACCAGGTAGATTTACAAGAAGATCAGGCCTTCCTTCATCAGTACCACTGACATCATCAAAAGCAGCATCTTTAAAAGAAATAACGGGGACTGAGTCATCTGAGCCCCTGCTAACAGTGTCCTGAGCTATACACTCTACTTTGCTTTCACTAGTACTAACACTCCTGGGAGTGCTCTCTCCGTCCGACAGAGTGAAGAACGATTTCAAAGGTTCTGACTTTAGACTATACAATTTTTCTCCAAAATCAAGTCCTAGGAGTTCACTAGTGCTGTCCTTACTATCTATCCTAAAGAATTCCATGGGGATGTTTTTAGATCTACTGAGGGAATCTGATGTTCTTGGAGAACTAGCTGCTTCAAGGCCATCATCTCCAGGGAAGAACTTCAGCTGTCTGCTGGGGCTGTCGCTGTCAGTAGCAAGCTGTCCTGGGAAGTTTTCTATAGCTTTGGTATCAACATCATTCCTTTCAGTCTTCATGAAAGGTTCCTCACTCAAAGACCCTGGATCAATCTTCTCTTGCCCATACTCATTGCATAATGTTAAATAACTAGTAGTACATTCTTCTTCGGAACTTGAGCCAGAGTCTGGCCATTTTGGAGAGCTGTCTTGCCCACCGTCATCTTGGTTGCTGTCATCCTGAGAGCTTGGAGTAAGGCTAGTCTTCAAAGGCAGAACTTGGAGAGTGGCTCCACCATCACTTCCTCTGGATTCAAAGCTGGTGCTGTCCTGGGGACTACAAGTCGGCTGTTGCAGGTGAACTTTAGCAACTGAAGACTTTTTCATTTCTTCCATGTCAAAGCTTTCTTCAGGACTTCTGTTGAGAAACTTACTGATATATGACCAGAGTTTGCCACCTGTGAACAAGTACAACCAAAAAAAAAAAAATTTAAGAATCCCAAATTAATGGTTATATATTGAAGCCCCTAGAAAAACAAAAAAGTATTCTAATAATCAAAAACCAGTCAATGATACCCATTAATGTCAAGTATGCTGTAAGAAGCATTTTAATAAAAATGCCTTCTTGAAGAACAGTCAAGCGTGGATTTGGGATTCATGACAACAAAGAGTTTAAATAGAATTTTTGCAATGAAAAAAGAAACTAAATAAAATAAAATATTTTATTACTGGTGAGTACAGTTTCAAGCCTATCGCCTAATATTAATTATTTTGAAAAATATCAACCTATTTCTTCCTTTGAAGAGCAACTGGTTACAACAAACACTAACATGAAATTTCACAGCTAAAACTCTACTTAAATATAATTTACTCTAGAAATATCTATGTTCTGCTCTGTTAATAATTTTTTCAAGCATGGCCACCGGAGCTCTACTGACAAGAAAACAGCATTACAAAAAAGAAAGAATAGTTAAGTCTGATCCATAAATCTTAAAAGCAGTAATTGTGGGAACATACTTTGTGAAGATATAACTATTGCTTCCAAAAATAGGAAATAATGCACTAAAAATGAAACCCTGTATACTAACAAGATTAAGGCAGTTTTTTTCAGCACATTTTTAAATGTCATTATGAAATATCATGTTAACAACTAAATCTTAGGGGAAATAATCATTGACAGTCAATTATATGTGTAAAAAGTCAACGGAAGCATCCAAAAACTCTTTCTCTCCTTGGCATTTCATTTCATTTAAAGGAACTCAATAAATAACATAAATATCCCACATGGTGCCCAGCAGAGAGTAAATGCTATAAAGGGTAGTTGTCATAATAGTAATCCTAGGATACTCAGACATCTTCTACCAATGATCTAGTTTACCGTCTTACCCCATTTTTATAATTCAGAACATTGTGGTTTTTAACTTTTTCCTGTGGTTTTTTCTTAGGTAACCTTCTGTCATCACTAGATTATACTCCAGAGTCTCATTTCCTCATATTCAAGCTAGTTTAAGGATTCATATATGGCTTTGAAATTCACTCACTCACACACAAAATAAGCTATGCATCGACTCCATCTTTTTTGATCTCTCTGACAACAACGATGACATTGCTCTTATCACAAATGCCTTCACTGGCACACCAGTAATAACGCCTGCCATGGCACTCTCTCCTCGTGGTCCAGGGGTTACGAGTCCACCTGCCAATGCAAGGGATGTGGCTTTGATTCCTGGTCTGGGGAGATCCCACATGCCACAGAGCAACTAAGCCCATGAGTCGCGACTACTGAGTCCCTGTGCTGCCAACTACCGAAGCTTGAGGGCCCAGAGCCCATGCTCTGCGACGAGAAGCCCCTGCAATGAGAAGGCTGCGCACCACAATGAGTGAATGCGTGCGCCCCTCACTCGCCAAAACTAGAGACAGCTTGGGGGCAGCAACGGAGACACAGTGCAACCAAACAAATAAATAAGCAATGCCTGCCCTGAAGCTGGGATTCTTGTGTGAAATCCAAAAATAATGTTGTATATTGTTTTCAGTGCTCTTAAGATGATAACTACTGTAAGAACAGGACCAAGTCTTTTTCATCTTTATATATCTACTGCCTATAAAGTGTGCAGGAAATGACAGGCATCACTCAATGCTTGTTAACTCAAATGGTTACTCATTCGTGATGAGATACGCCACCACAAAGTGGACACTATCCGTAGCTCTAACGTTCCAGTAATCAGCAAGGAACAGTACCTAATAAAGCTCTAAGAAAAGTTGCATTTCTTTTTAGGCTAATTGGGCTTCCCGAGTAGCTCAGACTGTTTAAAAAAAAAAAAAAAAAGCATCCACCTGCAATGCAGAAGACCCAGGTTTGATCCCTGGGTCAGTAAGATCTCCTGGAGAAGGAAATGGCAACCCACTCCAGTATTCTTGCCTAGAGAATCCCATGGACAGAGGAGCCTAGTAGACTACAGTCCATGGGGTCGCAAAGAGTTGGACACGACTGAATGACACACACACACACACAACCTGGATGAGCTGCTCAAATGTAAAAGTGAATGTGCTTAACTTCTTTATTTTTGCTCCCCAGATCACTTCCTCTCTCTGACTTCAGAGCTACTGAGGCACAAAAGCTTTGGACCAAACTTGGACTATTTTCTCTCCCTTGTTCTTCCTACATCTGACAAGTTTCAAAGTCCTATAAGATCTACACATGCTTCCCATAGTCCTCCTCTTCTTTTAATTCCTCCAATCACTCTGTGTTTCCTCGAATAATGTTACAGCTACAACTAGACCCCTACTGTCAGTCCTTCTTGGGGCGCCCTGCCATACTAATTGCTACCCAAGTAATCTTTTCACTTTAGCACAGATCTTATCATGTCATTTCTCCAAGAACCTAAATCCCCCTGCTGCCCACCTCCTGAATGATGTACATCCTCAGTCATTTCAATTGCGTCCGACTCTTTGTGACCCCCTGGACTGTAGCCGGCCAGGTTCCTCTATCCATGGGATTCTCCAGGCAAGAAGACTGGAGTGGGTTGCCATTTCTTTCTCCAGGGGATCTTCCTGACACTGGTGTCAAACCCACATCTCCTGCATTGGCAGGTGGATTCTTTACCACTCCGCCACCTGGGAAGCCCCACTGAATGATGTACCAACCCCATATGGGCATTTAAACCCCTACTAATGCAGTATCAATCCCTGATTTGGTTCTCTCCCTCAAATCACTATGGCATTTTACCCGAACAGAATTTCTCCACATATAACCCATGCTGGGTTTTTGCTCAAACGAAAGCTGAGTGCCAAAGAATTGATGCTTTTGAACTGTGGTGCTGGAGAAGACTCTTGGGAGTCCCTTAGACTAGAAGGAGATCCAACCAGTCCATCATCAGGGAAATCAGTCCCGAATATTCACTGGAAGGACTGATGCTAAAGCTGAAACTCCAATACTTTGGCCACCTGATGCGAAGTACTGACTCATTTGAAAAGACCCTGATGCTGGGAAAGATTGAAGGCGAGAGGAGAGGGGGACGACAGAGGATGAGATGGTTGGATGGCATCACCGACTCAATGGACATGAGTTTGAGTAAACTCTGGGAGTTGGTGATCCCATGCATCCTGGCATGCTGCAGTCCATGGGGTTGCAAAGAGTCAGACATGACTGAGCGACTGAATTGAACTGAACTGATACTTATACCACTTAGAATTTTCTTCCCAGTTAGTTTCCCCAATATCTACTTGTCAAAATCCTATCCATTCTTAAAGGTCTTTCAGAATTTGTTTATCAGTTTTTTTTACATGTCCTCACTGAATACAATTCCTAACTTCTCAGAATCCTCTGATCACTTCATCCTTCTTATTACATAAATGTAATAACATCCTATTTCCTACTAATATTACTTTTATGCTTTCATCAGCTCCTTTACCAGACTGCAGGGTCTTCATAACTACAAAGAGAGGATTCTGTGTACTAAGTAAAATAATAGGAATTAAAAATATTTATTAAATAGAGTTTTAAAACAATGATATTTTTACAAATTTTTGAAAATCTTTCAAGGAAAACCTTATGCACACTAAAAATGTCATTTTTTTGGTCATACTTTCCTCTTATTCTAAAACAGATACATATAATAGTTTTACTATAAAAAAAACTTAAATACAGAAAAGGACAAGGAGAACAGCAAAAAATTCAGAATATATAATTCACCCGCAAACATTTTTTTTCAGACTTTTCATAATTAACATCTTATCATAAACATTTTCTAATTTCATGAGAATACAAACTTGAATGGCGACAGAGCACATCCGTGAGACAGACAGAAAAGCTGTTTAAATGTCCCTCTACTGCTGACCATTTGCTTCCGTTCTTTTACTGTTAGAATTTAAATACTGTATATTCATAGTTTAACTTACAGACACTTAACACCTCTGACTGTTTCATCAGGACAGAATACCAGAAATGAAAGTCGTAGGTCAGGAAGTATGAATATATTTAATGTTCCTGATAAGCAGTCATTAAACTGCTTTACAGAAAGGCTACACCAGAATCCACTCCTATTGCAACGTGTACCAGAGCCACCTTCATAGCATCTTACCTATATTGAACATTAGCAAGTTTACCAATTTGGTTAATCAACTATGGCATCTTATTTAATTTCCATTCTTTTCATTATGAGATAAAATTTTAATATAATTGTTGGCATTTCCTTTATGAAATTTGTTACTAACCTAAATGAGTACCCTAACACAAAATATAAAAACTGTGCATTTTCAGAGAAAAAAACTGTTTCAGCTCATCTCCATTCTATTTGGGGGCCCCAGTTAGATTTAATGCTCAATATAGAGCTACAGAAACAAAAATTTGGTCCTATGGCGTACTTTTTTTCAATTACAAAATCATGAAAACTACATAACTTACAAAAAACATATTATTCCACGAAGTTCTTGTCCACAGAAGCTGAATGGGTTTTACTTTCTACAGTTAAGATCAGTCCTAATACACAAGCTTACACAAACAGCAACATTATTATTATAACATTAATGACATTAACCTAGAAAATCCTATTAGTGCTAAATCACAAATATAAATAGAAAATATCTAAAATATTCATAATTTTAATACTCTAAGGATATAAGTGACACTTTTCTAAGCCCTGTTGAAGCATATAAAATTATAGATATTAGTTATTTTAAGCTACAAAAATAGCAATCCATAAAGTTTAATAAAAATTCTCTCATTAAGATTTTCATCTACTGGTTTTCTACAAGATTGCAAAGAAAATCTGTTCAATTTACTTGACCAGAATAGAAATTATTTTAATACATATGATAAAATATTTCTGAACAAATGATCAAAAATAATCTTTTGACCCAGCAATTCTACTTCACAAAATTTGTTTCATAAATAAACAATAATTTATTTTACTTAATTAATTTAATTTTAAATAAATATTTATACATGTAGGTTATTTAA